CCCCAAAACCCCAAAACCCCAAAACCCCAAAACCCCTTTATTAATTAAATCATTGAGTTTGTTAAACTTTTGAATAGAAGCCTTGTTCATTTTAATTTGCTTTTCTGGGTTCTACTGATTTGATTTCTGGAATTGGGTGAATCTCAGGCCTTGTAGCTCCGACAAGTTCAAAGATGTACTTCATGAATGTGTAGAGTGCAAATCCACAGACAAAATAAGGAATAGCTATAAAACAAAGTTAGCCACAAGTCTGGGAGATTATAAATCTTATACTTCAGGCTTTATGAAATTAAAAAAATATCTCAAAGAAGAAATTCGAGAATTTTTGTCTTTGATGTGGAATTAAATAGGGAAACTTACCGATGATGAAGAGCCAATGGTGAACAAGCATATCGAGGAGATAGTCAAGACCGAAGATACTTAAGGCTATCCATACAATTGTGATTAGGTATCTGAAAATAAAACCAACAAGAGAATTGCGGTCTTCTGACTCTCTCAGCTGATTATAGTCAACTCTGGTTCCTCCAAGCAAGAGTGAATCAAATGCAATTCCAACGATTACACCAAGATCAAGGAAAAGGAAGTTGTAGACTCTGCCCATTTCTTTATCAAAAAAGCCTGGGAAAGGGAGTAATTTGCATTTATCAACATGCTCTGATTTCCAGTGAGGATTCACAGTGAATCCACTGACTTGGAATCCATAGTAAACTCTGATAACAACGATGAGGATAATGATTAATACTATCTGTTGGAGAACGGTAATCACTATCTGGGAAACTGGAATCATTAGCTCTGATATCAATACATATCTTTCAATAGCCCAGTCTTTGATGAAGAAATATGACACACAGAAAATTCCATGACCCAAGAACATAGCATAGAATACTTGATCAATTGTATTGATTCCGAGATACATTGAGGAGAAGGCGATCATGAAAACTCCGAATATAATTAAAGCAAGAATTAACCAGTAAGAAAAGTCATTTTCTTTCATCTGTTGATAAGCAGAAGACTCATGAAGGAAGTACTCGTGAGCCTCATCTTCATAATCAGTTGGATCATTACCTCCTTGGATAGTGTTTCTGTCATTTCTCTTTACTCTTGGTCTACGAATGTCAATCCAATCATAGGCTAGGTAGAACATCATGCAGTATGCAAACGAAGGAAGAGCAACTTCGAGGGTTGGCGTTTGGAAGGTGTCCTGGTTACACTTGCCAGCACGGATAAAATCTTTATCCATATATGGAGCAGGATCATTCCAAAACATTTTAAGTAAGGATACAAAGGCAATGAACTTGCATGTCGATGTCAGTAAGAATGCGGATGAAACTCTGTTAAATTTAGCATAGAATCCAGCTACAATAATCCATAGTAATTCCCATCCGAATGCATAGATAAAGTGGTTGAATCCAGACCATATTCCATTTGTATAATATTGCAATCTTGGAATCAATTCATTTGCTGAATATTGGTAAAAGTCTCCTCTGAAGAAGTAGTGGCCCAATATTACTACTAAGAAGAAGATTATTGCTACTACAATGAAGGTGATAGTATTTAGGTTGCTCATTTCTTATCTGATGTTCAAACTCCCTGTTAGTTCCTGATTTAAATATATAATTCTTAAATTATCTAAAACCACATATGGGGTTTTGGGGTTTTGGGGTTTTGGGGTTTTGGGG